CTTGGTTGAGCTACCTTGATCACTCTCCCAACTGGCCTTTTGAAAACCAACCTATCAAGTTGCTGGATACGACTAAGGGAAGTGTCCTAAACCTTCTACTGAAGAACCTCCTACTTTGGAGCTGAAGCCATCACATCTCAAGTATGCATATCTGGGAGTGGACAACACTCTCCCAGTTATCATCTCATCATTACTGATAGAATCAGAAGAAGAAAGGCTGATGAGACTGCTAAGTGTACACAAGAAGGCAATTGGGCGGACCATTGCTTCTAACGAAGGCATCAGTCCATCAGTATGTATGCACAAAATTCTTCTTGAAGATGATGCCAAACCATCCATAGAAGGACAAAGAAGGCTGAATCCTACAATGAAGGAAGTAGTGAAAAAGGAGATCATCAAACTATTGGGTGCTGCAATTATTAACCCTATCTCAGATAGTCGATGGGTCAGCCCAGTTCAATGTGTTCCAAAGAATAGAGGCATGGCTGTGGTTAAGAATGATCAAGATGAGTCTGCATGGATTACAGAAAACTTAACAAGGCTACTAGGACAGAACATTTCCCACTGCCTTTTATTGATCAGATGCTAGACTTACTGCAGGATTCATCTACTATTGCTTCATAGATGGCTATCCTAGATATAATCAAATTTCCATAGCACCTGAGGACCAAGAGAAGACGACATTCACATGTTCTTATGGCACCTTTGCCTTTAGAAGGATGTCATTTGGCTTGTATAATGTCCTTGCCACTTTTCAGTGATGTTCATATTTTTAGACATGGTGGAAGACATCATTGAGGCATTCATGGATAACTTCTCAGTGTTTGGAAGTTCTTTTGAAATCTGTTTGAAGAATCTGGGAAGAGACTTGAAAAGGTGTATTGAGGCCAATTTGGTGCTGAACTGGGAAAAATCTGGGAAGAGACTTCCTGGTGACTGAGGCCATTGTTTTAGATCACAAGATTTCTGCTGGAGGCATAGAAGTGGATTGAGCCAAGATAGAGGTGATTTAGAAGCTGACTCCACCTATATCTGTAAAAGGAATTAGAAGTTTTCTTACCATGCTGAATTCTACAAAAGATTCATCAAGGATTTCTCCAAAATTCCCAAACTCTTGTAATCTTCTAGAGAAAGATCCAGCTTTTATCTTTGATGATTCATACATGGGAGTTTTTCTGGAGCTGAAAGAGTTGATCTCTACACCAATAATTATTACACCAGACTGGTCCCAGCCTTTTGAGGTGATATGTGATTCTAGTGATTTGCAGTAGGTGTAAGGTTGGGACAAAGGAGAGATAAAAGTCTTCATGTGGGGTATTATGCCAGTAAGACCCTCAACTCAGCTCAGGTCAATTATTCCACTACTAAAAGAGATGTTGACCATTGTATTTGCTTTTGAAAAATTCAGATTGTATTTGCTGGGAATGAAAGTCATTTTCCAAACAAACTATACATCAATCAAGTCTTTGGTGAACAAGAAAGATTCTAAACCAAGATTGATTCGATGGGTGTTGTTATTGCAAGAATTCAATCTAAAAATCAAGGACAGAAAAGGTGCTCATAATTAGGTAATAGACCATTTGTCAAGATTGGAAAGAAAATTGGAAGAGGCAGACCCAATCCAAGAAAGCTTCCCTGATGAACGGCTCTGGGAAACGAACGAGTCACTCGCACGAGTGACAAAATTCAGACCATGGTATGCAGATTTTGCTAACTTTGTTGTAGGCAATCAACTTCATGAAGGATTGACCACTCAGCAAAGAAAAAAGTTCCTCCATGATGCTAAAGCTTACTTTTGGGAGGAACCATATCTGTATCGGAGATGTTGATGGCTGTCAAATCTACCAAAATAAAACCTGCTTAAAACTGGAGTTAGTGGTAAGCAGGACCGATCCCACAAGGACGGGTGAAACTCTAATAACCTCAATTGACCGACTAAAACAACAAGAAAATAGAGAAAGCAGATGACTTGCAAAAGGAGAAACTAACTTCGCTAAATGCCCCGGGGTTCATATTCCACTATCCTCTCGTTGGCTTCTTATTCTGATTGCTACTTTTGTGGTATGAAACTTTATTCAATCAGGCACGATTATACTGTAAGGTCACTCACGATATTCCAAACAGAGTCTTAGCAACAACAGACCCACTAACTCGCGTTGTTGACTGCAGAATACTACTAAGACATTAAGTTCTTAAGCTCTGATGACTGCCTTGTGCCAAACAACTAATTTTCATTGTTGTTTAAAAACTTGGGATATTACCCCCTCGTCACCGGCTAATACTAGACATTCTAAGTTAATTTTACCCTCACAGGTTTCCCTAACACGCATGCACAATTGATTAGTTGATCACACTAATCAAAAGGTTAATTAAAATCTAGTACTAGGCACACAAATATCATCTAAGCACAACCATATATAATAACTAGAGAGATTCAAGGGATTAAAACTCCATAAACAGTTTAGGTACTCGTGTTCTTGACTACAACTGATATGAAATTGATCAACATAGCCAAAGACATGATTACAAACAAGAAAAAGACACAAAAGAAAGAAAACAAGGGAAGGAAGCAATCTGCTACTGCTGCGGTAGGATGGCTACTTGGGCAAATGACTTTGTCACTTCTCCGAGTAGCAATCCATGGAAGAACTTTCTGTTGTTACAGGAAATTTCATCTATTATACAGAAAAATGTTTACCAATTTTCTCACATATATAGGGAAGAAAATGTTGTTGCTGATAGGTTGACTAAGATTGCATCCTCTGGGGTATCGGAGATGTACCCTAATTTAGCTATTCAGCCTAGATATGTCAAAGGTTTGTTGATTTTAGATCAACTTTCCTTCTCCTGTATTTGTAGCAAGTCTAGTTCATGTAAAATGGTAAGACCAATACTCTGTCAAATGTCCTTTACAAGAAATTTAATAAATGTAGGGAAGGAACGATTCTAGGGAACTGGATGGTATAGATGTTCATCCCTTGGGTATACCCCTTGGGCGCATTGTACCATCTAGCACTAGCTGGCTCAAAATATCTCTAGGTTATAACCCTTGAGTATTTTCTATGTCAGTTGGAACCTGAACATAGTTTTTACCCCTTTTTTCTTGCAAAAAAAAAGTATAAGTTGACTCGCATTAGATGTGCAGATCAGCTGATTAGGAGATATATACTTGCAAAGGAAATTGCAGCCATTTAGGAAAAGTGTCATTCTTCTCCAAATGGTGGATTATTTCAGGTGATAAAGGGCTGCTACTAAAGTTTTGCAATCATGTTTTTATTGGCCTACTTTATTTTCTGATGCTAACAAGTTTTTCAGTGTTGTGATAAATGTAAAAAAACAGGTAATATATCTTGTAAAAATGAGCTACCACAACAGATAATGCTAGAGGTAGAACTGTTTGATGTCTGGGGAATTGATTTCATGGGACCCTTTGTGTTAGCAACACCTATATTCTAATGGCAATAGATTAGGTCTCCAAGTGTGTGGAAGCAGCAGTAGTGCAGTCAAGTGATGCCAAGACTTTGATCAAATTCATGAGGAAGAACATTTTCACTAGACTTGGGACTCCAAGAGTGATCATTAGTGATGAGGGGTTGCATTTCTGCAATATGAACTTTTTCACAGCCTTGGTGAAGAAGTATGGAATCAAGCACAGAGTGTCCACTCCCTACCATCCTCAAACCAATGGGCAAGCTCAAATATCCAATAGAAAAATTAAGAGAATCTTGGAGAAGGTGCTGAACAACACTAGAAAAGATTGGGCAACTAGGCTTAATGATGCACTATGAGCCTACAGAATTGCCTACAAGACTGTTATAGGCATGTCACCTTTCATACTTGTCTATGGGAAGGCTTGTCGTCTACCTGTTGAGTTGGAACATAAAGGCTACTGGGCCATCAAATAGCTGAATTATCATGAACTCTCTGCCAGGACCAGATACTATTGTAACTAAATGAACTCGAAGAATTTAGTCAAAATGCTTATGAATCCTCAAGGTTGTACAAGGAGAAGACCAAGGCCTACCATGATAGGAAATTAATTAAGAAAAAGCTCGAAGAAGGTCAGCTGGTGTGGTAAAACCAAAAGAAAAAAACCATTTACAATTCTTTTATGTTTATCTTCTCTCTCTAAAAAAAGACGCTCTCACTTCTCTCTAGATCTCTTGTCCGAAAACCCTACTTTTCCCCATGGCAGCCAGTCGGCCGCCGGATGATAACGGGCAAAAACTCCCCTTCTTTTGCCCAAATTTTGAATGGCACAAAGACCAATCCAATAAATATAATCAACCCCTCGGGAAAACACAATCTACAAGCCCTTCAATCAAATCAAAACCACTGGATTATAAAGGAAAGCCTGCATTTTTATTGAAAAAGGAAGAAGATGAAACCTTGGCGACGCCTTTCAAGCTTTCATTAGTAGGAAAATTTTCAAAAGGGAGGCCGAATTCGAAGATAGATTTCTTGTGGCATCAATTTCAAAAATTGGCTTAAAAGGCATCTATTCAATTGGCATGATTGATCATAGGCATATCCACATCCTTTTTGATTTAAAAGAAGACTACCACCGCTATTGGATTAAACGACTTTGGTCTTTTGATCAACATGTTATGCGACGGCTCAAATGGACTCTACAATTCAATACCGAGCATGAATCATCCATCGCCCCGGTCTGTATCGCTTTCAAAGGTTTGCCAATACATCGGTTTAATGAGGAATATTTGAGTGGATTGACAAGTATTGTACGAACGCCCCTCAAAATTTATGTTCCTACTTTGAACCTCTCGTGCCCATCAATCGCTAGGGTTTGCGTCGAGCTTAATCTCCTGCAAGAACTGCCCAAAAGATTTCTTCTAGGAACAGAAGAATAATATTCATATTATCACGAAATCACATACAAAAATCTCCCGGAGTATTGTTCGGAATGTAAGAAAGTTAAAAACGGCTTAGAGGATTGCCGTGGTAAAGCAAAGGCGCCGCTAACAGAGGTTAAGAAAGCACCAATGAAGGCCATCGAAAAAATGAAACCACCATTCCTGCAACTCAGGCTAGCTGGAAATCAAAGCCCCAAGCCGATAAAGAAAAAGTGGATCTCCAGGAATAGGAATCAAGGGCGTCGTCATCAGGTTTCTCAAATAAAGAGAAGCAAGACACCCCAATCGATCTCGTGGATCAGAGTCCCCTTAATCCGTCACCCGGAAAGAAGAGGATTACAAAAGAGCAACGGACTACAATTCTTGAAAACAGCAAAGAAGGAGGTAAGATGAATTCTTCTTGGGATGTACAAGATAGGAAGAAAGGTTTTAATGTCAGCAGTTTATGCTAAATCTACACGTCAAGAAAGACAAAGTTTGTGGACTGAATTGCGAGGGTTTTTGGAAAATAAATGCTCTACTTCCATGGATGGTTGGTGGTGATTTTAATGTTATCCAGGAAAGGGAGGAATACGAGGGAAACTCTAAGCCTGGCAGAGGAGCAATGGAGGATTTCAATTTATGAATAGCTAGTTGTAATTTGACGGAGAATTGTCACCTTTAGGCAACCTTTTCACCTGGTCAGGGAATCGGCAAAACGGAAGGGTGCTTAAAAGGCTTGGTCGTGTTTTATTTAATTAGGAATGGATGGATTTCTTTCAAGCTTTATCGGTACATCATCTAAATAGAACGACATCGGATCATGCTCCTTTGCTTCATCAATTTCGTGTAGATATTGAAACGAGGCCTAGTATATTTCGATTTCAAAAAATGTGGATACGTAGAGAAAATTTTCGGGATGTGGTTAGGGAAAGCTGAGAACAAGATCTTCCTATGTCGGGAATGGTTTGTTTCTCAATGAAACTTCGCAGGTTAAAAGCGCACCTCAAAGAATGGAACAAGAATGACTTTGGGAATGTTTTCCAAAATTTGAAAGTGGCTGAGGAGTATGTACAACTCAAGGAAGAGATCTATGATCCATCCGGCAATGAATCCAACAGAATTGAATTGCATAAGTCGCAAGTTCACCTTCTATTAAAGCTGAGAGAGCAAGATGACTTTCTTCAACAGAGATCAAAGCAAAAATGGCTTCGAGATGGGGATGAAAATACAACCTATTTCCATGCATCCTTGATTGAAAAAAAAAATGCGGCTTGGCACCCATAAAATTAGAAGACGTATGGGTTCATGGTTAACAAGAAGGGAGGATATAGAAGTGGAAGCGATATCTTTCTTTACAGAATTATTAACAACTGAAGAAGTTGAGAATCATGCTGATGCTTGTTCTCTAATCCTCAGTAGTATCCCTGCGATCATCAACTCGGACGATAATCAGGAGCTTCTAAAGACCATCACAAGTGAAGAGCTTAAAGCAATAGTTTTCAGTCTAGATCCCTCAAGTGCCCCCGGGGTAGATGGATTTGGAGGAGAGTTTTATCGTCATTGCTGGCATATCATTAACAATGACCTCATGGAGGCTTGTCTCGATTTTATGAATGGTTCTCCAATACCAAAAGCCATTGGCTGCACCATAGTAACTTTAGTCCCGAAGAAATCTATTGCCACCTCCTTTGCGGATTTTCGTCCAATTAGCTTATGCAACTTCCTTGATAAAATTTTTACGAAGTTGCTAACAGAGCGCTTGAAAAAGGTTCTACCTCGCTTAATCTCTGATGAGCAATCAGCCTTCTTGACCGGTTGAGACATTGTTGACAACATCCTTATGACTCAAGACCTCATCCTATTTTTAGATCATCCAGCAAGAGGGGGAACCTCATTTTAAAGCTTGATATGATGAAGGCCTTCGATCGTGTTTCATGGAGCTTTTTACATCGTAGCTTACTCAAGTTCGGATTTCATGAACAATTTGTGGCCCTGGTGCTCTGTAATTTGGAATGAAGTTGGTTCTTTATACTCATTAATGGAAGTCCTGTTGGTTTTTTCAGGCGTCTAGAGGAATAAAAAAAGGCGATCCTTTATCGCCTTACTTGTTCATCTTGCTCTTAGAAGCTCTTACTCGCAACTTGAATAAGCTCATAGTAGAGGGGAAGATAGCATCATATGGAGTGCCTGCAGGAGCGGTGATACCGTCACACTTATGTTTTGTAGACGGCCTTCATTATTTTCACAAAGGGGCTGAAGCATTCTATGCAAAATTTGATCTTCTTTTTCCAGGACTATGAAGCGGCTACTGAGCAGAAGATGAATAATCAAAAAAGTTGTTTCTATACATCAGGAAAAAGCACAATGGAACATGTTCAACTGGTGAATCCAACCTTCCAAATGTCGCAAGGGACTTTTCCTTTCATTTATTTTGGATGCGAAATTTTTAAAGGGAGGAAGAAAATTGACTGCTTCCAGCACTTGAAGATGTTATTGATGCTAAATTAATAAACTGGAAGAGAAAATTCTTATCACAAGGGACAAGTTGATTCTTATTCGGCATGTCCTCTCGGCTCTCCCAATCCATACTATTGCCGCAATAGAACCTCCAAAGATGATCATCTCAGCCCTTGAGCGTAAATATCAAAATTTTTTCTGGGAGGAGAGTGAGGAAGGGAACAAAAAACACTGGTGAGCATGGATTAATGTGGTGGCGCCGGTTGAGGAAAATGGCCTTAATATTCGTAGCTTCAGTAAAGTCATACAAGCTTTCTCTTTAAAGCTTTGGTGGAAGATCAACTCTCTCACTGGCATTTGGGCCAGATTTGTTGTATCACTATCAAAAACTTTGAAAGAAAAGACAAGATGGACAAGAACTCCGAAGGTTGATAACCTAGCTTTATCGAGATCAAAAGTATAAATAAGAAACGGCTCGTTGTCTTTTGGTTCGACAGATGGTTATCATCAGCAGCAATCTGGGAGGAAGAAAATGTCCGACGAGCCCCAACCCTAACTGTTCGAGAATTCTTTCAATCAAAAGTCTTTTTCTTGCAGGTTTTTGATGGATTATTTCGGCCTGAAGATGCTACAAAGCTGCGCTCATTGGTGATGGTGTTTACGGATGGAAAAGACTAGCTTGTGTGGACACCTTCTTTGACGGGAGAATTCACAATATCTTCGGCCTACAAAGAAATGACACAAACCTGAGAAGCCTCTCCTTTCCTTAAAAATTTTTGGAATAAAATCATTCCCTTAAAAGTTTAATTATTCATTTGGAGGCTTTATAATTGTTTGCTCCCTTTTCCAGAGGTATTGTGCAAAATGAACTTGATGCTGAATCCATCTAGATGTCCTTTCTATCAAGATGCGGAGGAGAATATGGATATAATTTTTTATAGTTGACCGCGGATCGTGCATATATGGCACCATTTTGCTGCAATTTTGGGGGTCCTTTCTCACAATAATTCAGAATGGTGGAGTCTTCTTCAATCATGGAAATCCATAGGAAGTTACACAACGGTGAAAAAATCAATCATAATGGTCACACCCCTCTTTATGCTATGGGAAATATGGAAACTCCGAAACAAAATGACTTTTAAAGGTACACCATTTTCCTCTGATTTTTTGATTAAAGGTATTACTACTAATATTTTCCATATGTTGAGTGTCAATCAAATACATGAGAAAAACTCTAGCGGAGCATCAAGAAGTGGAGAACCTTTTGAAAGTACAAGTGCTAAACCCACCAAGGAAGAAAATCAAGATCGTAAAATGGAAGCCACATGATCCAGGAGATTTAGTTTTAAATACATATGGCTCTGCATTGGGACAACCAAGAGAAACTGGATGGGAATATGTCTTTAAGGGAAAGCAAGGGATCTTCATCACAGCTGAAAGCAAATATATAGTAATGGCAACAAGTTTGGAAGTAGAATTAATCGGAATCTACCACGGTCTAAAAGATTGCATGGTAGAAGAGCTACGATAAATAGAAGTTCAAACAGATAATAAAGTCATCATACTCTGCCTTCAAAAAGGAATAGACTTTCCCTGGAAATATTATCATTACTTACGAGGGATACAAGAAATGCTGAGACTCTCGTAATCAAGAATCATTCACATCTTCCGAGAGGCAAAGAATGTTGCAGATGAACTTGCAAAGTAAGCTTTTTGAAGGGGTTACAAGGCAATACAACTGTCTAAGTGATCTTTCGGCATCAATAAGGGGAAAAGTGCATCTAGATAAATTTTTTGTTCACTATCTTAGAATTAGATAGTTGTAAGCAATTTTTAGTTAGAGTTTGCGAAGTATTATAACTATGTCTCTAAGAGTTAAAGGTCTTGATGTAAAATGCCAAGGGTTAGATCCATACTCTTGCCTAGGTCTTTCATTTATTTATAGAAATAGTATCATTAGGGGAGGAACGATACCAGAGAACTAGATGGTCTAATATCCAACCATTGGTATATCCTTGGGGACATTGTACTATCTAGTACTGGCTGGTTCAAAATACATCTTAAGGGTCCAACCCTTGAGTGTTTTCGTGACAGTTGGAACCTGAATATTGCTCCATTCCTCTCTTTTAACAAAAAAAAAAAAAGTCAAGTGGTGTAGTTGTACAACTCCAAACTAAGCCTTTCTCTAGAAAGGTTGAAGTCAAGGTGGTCTAGTCCTTTCAAAATCAGCAAAATATCCGCATGACTTTTTTTTTTTTTTTCAATTGTCAATACAACCCAAGACAATGTAAGAAAACTAACTACAAAATCAAAGTTGTCACGACGCATCAACCACCTACCACCAACCAAAAGATTAAAAATGATCATCTTCCAAGTAACGGGTTGAAGCGTCGTCAAAAATACGGCCAGCACTTAATATACTGAAGTTTAAACAAAAATGGTCAAGGTTGTCTCCAAAGCCTGATTTTCTTGAAGCTGTAACTAACATGGTGAGAAATTCTAATATTTTGTCTTGCTGAAATTGATGAAATGACAGTCAATGTTCAGAAAGCAAACAATCAGTTTGTTGTATGAAATGATAACTTTACCATACTTTATTGGTCTGTTCTTAGAAATATTGAAGAATATTGAGTGAAAATTGTCTTGATGAAAAAAGAGACCAAAAAAGCTAAATCTAAATGATTTGTCAAAACTTTTGAGAGAAGGGCTTGTCGCTATGACTCTTATTGCAGAGAAATCTTCAATCCCTTCAATTCGTTTCAGAATTATCATGTTGCCCCTACATGTGGTGGTCCATTTGAAGCAGCTTTTCACTATTGGGATCCTAAGATGGTGGCGATTTATGATGTTGCTAATGATATTGTTAAACGGTGTTTGGAATTCAGAGGTTTGGATAAGGATTCACAGGAGTACAAAGATCTTGTTGATGTTAAATTGGAGAAGATCCACATTTCTGTCATTCCTTTGAGTGTTGACCAAAAAAAGTTGCTAGATGACATTATAGCAATGGTGGATCTTCCAAATAATTCTGACGTCAAAGATCACATCGACTGTTTAGAGGAAGCGAACAACATTAATGAGGCCTTAGAACATTTCCATGTTGAATTGTTAAAAGAGTGGGAGCTTGCAATGGCAGAGTTGAATCCCTTCATTGTAGTGTGCAACATATATGGTAAGTGTATATATGAGATCAAGGAGTTGATCAAATCTAGAAACTTTAGCTATCCTAAATCTGCAGATGGTGATGGACAAATTCAAGCAATCAATCATAATTCTCACACAAAAATGATAAGCATTCAAATATACTAACTATATGCTCTAGAAAGGCTCAGATCAATCCATTTTTGCAACATATGTTGTGGTAGTTAAAACAAGTAAAATAAACATCCTCATTTAGATCAACATATACTATCAAAGTGATAAAAATAGGAAAGAAATATTTCTACCCTTGCTCTTCACTTCTTATATTCAAATGAAATTTTTGAATAACACGTCTCTAGACACAAGTTAAAAAAACACATTTTTTCATACAAAATTTTCATTTTCTAAACAAACAAGCCAAGCAAAAAATACATCTCCACATTTGAAACATATTGTTGTTTCAAGGTATGAAAAACATGCAAAAAAAATACATATAACACGCTCACTCAACATATGATGAAATAGTAATAACATAACAATAAAAAGTAAAAGAGGACTACCCTAAATGAATTACTCAAGAAGATTGAGGCCTTGGGCACAACAGTGTGAGAATGTATACATCTTTCAATGAATTATTATAAAATCAATTGATTATGTATTATTCAATTCAATGAATTCAACCATATAATGTAAGATTATACTCAAAATAAAAATAATGATACAAATTTCAGCACGCCCTAAGGGTGTTCAAGCGCTCACTAGTTATTTCTAATGTACAAATCCTCCATAGAGTCTCCATTGTGAGGCAACTCATCAATCTTTTCCATAAGTGAAAAATTAATATCACTTTTGATAAAGGTTTCTAAGATCTCTTGCTCATTCTCTTCCATCTTCGCCTCTATATATCAACTTGTTTAACAATCAAGTGACAATTGCATTAGTCAAATATACTTGTCTGTCCAAATTTTTTCACACTGCCACATCTTTCCTAATGAAAATTTTGTGTTAGTGGAGATATTCATAACAAGATCTTCTAGCAACATACTTAAGTTCGGTAGCACTTCTGCATGTTGACAAATATGTTGTGGTGATGTTGAATAGTGATTATGATTGAAGTCCAGATATTCTTACCTAGGGTCATATGTATATGATTTGGATTCATATCTTATTTGTGGTGATTCCCAATATTCTCCAATGACATTCACACGTTTCCACTGATAGTATAGCAACCTTAGACAAAAATCTCTTGTATACTTGTTATCAAGTAAATACAACATCTTTGCAACTATTTGAGTTTACCTATAGCCAAAATTTTAGCAAGAGATATTAGTTTATCTAATTTTAGTTCAGTGGATGAGATATTTAATTCTTTTGCATTCTATTTGATGTCCACATTGGTCCAAAAACTGCTTTCCATATGCATCCATAGTTGAAAAAAAATAAATAGAACAAACAAAAATAAAATTCAAAGGAAATATATCAATTAACACTTATAAATAATATTACTGTGAGATTCCAATTTTTTTTCCTCATTATAAGAAAAAAGTAATAATAAAATTATTACTTAAGCATTTAACTATCTTAGAGATCAAGTGATGATTAGTAATGATCAATAGCTAGTTAGGATAAGTGATTATTAATCAACTATTTGATAAGAATGGTGACCAGTATTTTAGTGAATAACTTCTAGATAACTAGCTAATTATTGAGTTAGTAATTAATTAGTGAAGTAAAAAGGTTTAGTATGAATACTGAAAATTTAGGGAGTCTAAGTACCCCATTTTTTCCTTCTTCTTTTCCAAAACCAAACACGTGATGAGAAACCCAAAAGTTGAAAGGTGGGTGAAATTTTTGTTTTGTCTTACCCTTTTCTATAAACTACTTAAGCCTTGCTACTATGTTCTTGAGAGTTATCTTTGTTTATTATTGGTTTTTTTTTTTTTTGTTCAAAAAAAGGTGCACTGCATCTTTTCTTTACAAAAATACCATAGGCAAAATCTCCATTTTATTTTATTTTCGTTCCAAGAGACCATCTAAAGCTTTTTCCACTTTTTGCTAGTCTAGGAAAACCATATAAATTCGTTTATTGAGTCAATGTGAATTGTGAAGCAAACATGTTAATTATGCGAAGCTTTTCGTTTTCTGATTTTATATTAAAAAAACATCACAATGATTGTTTTTTCTTTGTTTAATGTTTTCACCCTCAATATATATATATATATATATATATTTTCGCCTTAACAAAACATATTTTTCATTTTGTTTGCTTTCTTTTTTTTTAATATCTTTTCGTCTTCTTGCATATTAAATCCAATTTAGTTGTTTGTTTTGGAAATCTTAGAAGTTTTAGCCAAAGAAGAATGAGATTTTACAAAATTCTCCAAATATATAACCATTATTTCACTTGAATAGTTTTACATTAATTTTATTGTGTGCTATTGGGATTTATTAAGTTGATCACTTATTTAATTATTTATGAATTATTTAATTTATTTCTTTTGTTTATATTTTATTCCACCTACAATCTTAGATGTGATATAGTAGTTATATGAATGAACCATTTGATGTGCTTGTGCTATTGAAGTTTGGACTTCAATCCTATGATATGATTTGGTTCTAAACTCGGGTATTATCGAGAAGTTTGGCCCTCCGGTAGAGAGATTTAATCCTGTGTAGTACGGGTTTTTCTGCAATATTTTGGGTATTGACATGCGAGTGATTCGTACACAATGTGTGGTAATATACAAGAGAAATTAAACCCGAAAGTATTTCAGGGTGCGGCGTGTTATTGGTTTTCTTTCTGTTTGGCATCTTTCTGTTGAATTTGAAATTGACTTACAATGTTTTTCTTTTGTGTTACCTCAATTATTTGTTTTAAAACATGGGCACCCTCGCACGTGGTAGCTCACGGGATCTCCATAGCTCATCCAATTTCTTGTGCGATTTTCTAGCAGGAGTTACAAGCGAGGAATAATGGAAGCACTAGACCTGCTAGAAGATTTATAGATGTTTTTTGGAGGAGTAGATATCTATAATAAGTATTCATTTGGGAGTCACTACATAGACCAATTGAAAATGTCATATGGTTGTAATAAAACTTGTGTATTCAACCATGTTGTATTTTTTATATATATGTTAGAAAATTAGGGCCGTTGCAATTACCCTGCTTCAAAATTGACGTAGTATAGGAAATTATGATCGTCTTCACATGAAATGGTAGATACGTTTCTTTCAATTAAGTCACCCAAAATGGGGTTTATGATTTGGCTGTAAAATTACTAAATTGAACCTTTAATGATAGAAATGAAATAGATTAAAGTAAATCTAAGGCCAAAAAGCTCCAACCAAGGAAATTCTATCTCCGTCTCATCATGCAATAATCATCGACACAAAAATTTGAATTAACAATTTGTAGAATTAATTGATTATAGTATAATACAAACATGCAACTCACCTAGTTTTCCTAATTAGTTGTAGGCAAAGATCATAACCTCGAACACAACTTCCTATTGAACCATTTTTCCCCAAACTTTGCAAAACTATTTTTTCAATATAGAAAGACACGACTCTAGCGTCTCAAATATACTTGTATTCAAAATATTAGATTGCCACTTTCCCGAGATCAATTATTTCAACCGATAACTCCTTGACGTTCGTGGCTGCTTGCCGAAAACTACAAATCCTTGAAATTGTTGATTAGTTAGATGTTATTTCAAATCAATAGATGCTAACCAGCTATTCCATGAATGAAACAACAATTTTAATAATAATCAAAATGAAAGACATTCATGAATTACATGAACGATAAGAGTTGAAAAAATCTTTGACTAGAAATAAGATTTTAGCTACTCATCATAACAACCAAGAAAGATTCAATGAACCTTGTTATCGTTTGATGTCTATGAATTAGAAAGGCTCCAAAAGAAGAATGCGCCTGTGAGATAGTTTGTCACACGACAACCACAAAAAGGTAGAAAAGGAAACAAAATTCAACTTTGAGCCTGAAGTTTTGGTTACTTATACTCCAGCTATAAAACTTTTTGATTTTGTAATTGATCCCTACTTTTTTGCCCAAACAGAAATGCAGCACCGCTGCTGGAATTTCTACTCAAATGCTTAATTTGGATAATAAAATCGTATGGTCACGTAGAAATTCAAGTTGAATACTATCTCGATTGCTTCTTTCATGCTAATTCGCACCAAATGTATTTCTTTAAGTTATTTTCTCAAAAACACCATCAATTGTTTCTAACATCAAAATTCTAGCTTAATTAATCATTGTGATTAAGTTGGAAGAAGTGTGGATGATCGAAACTAAATCAAAAGAGTCGTCATCGAATAATAGTTCTAATTATAATGATATTGATGTGGAAAGAGCTAAAAGGTTAGTGGAAGTAAAAGTGTTAAATAATGATACTATTGGTGATCCTTGTTTGCATAAGCTAATTATTGATAGCTATTCTTTTGAAATTAGAGATGAACTTAGGAAACAGTACATTGACAGAGGTCCCATTCAAGCAAAAAAATTATCATTTCAAACAAAATTATCGAATCATTATCTAATTGCTCGTTTTAGGAACAATTGTTTAACATTTAAGATTGCTTAGTGTAGTGTAGACATAGATGTTCCATATTGTTTACCTCAATTTTTGTTTTTGGAGAAATAAGAATGGTGATGATTTTTTTTAGTGAAATTGGTTTTTCGAATTGGAGAAATGCATTGGCAAACTTTACAAACCATGTTGAATTTGTAAGAAGTATACATAATGGGGTTCAAATCAGTTGATAGGGTATCAAAATCAGTTATAATATAGAGTGACTAACTAATCAAGAAAATACTAATTACTGTACGTGGTTAATCGCTATTGTAAATAAAATCATATTAATTTTAAATCATGGTAATTTTTGTGTGGACCCGAGCATTGATGGTTTTTGGGGACTTTTCTACTATAAATAGTGGGAAATCATCAATTTTTTTCTGCTATAATTAAATGTTGGGAAATCACAATTTTAGATTTGCTTGAAGTTTGTAAAAAATTTATGTTGGGTATTCCAATTCCTAGGGCTATAGGAAGTATAATTGTCACCCACATTCCCAAGAAGTTATCAGTGACAACTTTTGCGGATTATAGACCGATAAGTCTATGTAACTTCATCAACAAGATCTT